GTCTTTTTTTTTTTTTTAACTAAACACTGAATTCCACAGCAAATCTACATGTTAAGGTTATCATAGTCAAGCTAGCATAACTGACTTACTTCCCTCTCCTTTGCTATTTTTCTTTTTCCTGACCTTGTTATCTAGTTGTCATAAAGCATTATATCCCTTTATCTTTTATTTATCAATCGTACATTTAAGATTTAGCACGTTATGTTGACAGTTTGACAGCTAAAATCAAGTTAGCCTCTAGCAAGGGGTCTTGTATTTGTGATGTCATGTTGCATTTGTCTATCCAACCACTTGTACAAAAATATGTACAGTAATGTACACACAGTAAGAACATTATCTGAGTCAGCAAATTTGTGTTTTATATAATAATTCTATATTTAGACAAACCAAGAATACTTTTAGCTGGAAGAGAAATGGGAAGAAGACAAATTTATTTTCTCCCTCTTCTTGTCCATATAAATAAATTGTGTGGCTGATGATGCATTTTTTGTTAGTACCACTGATGTCACTCATAACGCCAGAACCAAATTAAAATTTTAGTTGTATAATTCACATAATTTATTTATTACACAATGTGTTTATATACTTTTTAAAGTTTTGAACAAATGTATGTATTATTTCTATTAAGGTATTGGTGCAAACAGTGATCATAACTAAGCTAAACTACAACAGTTGGAGGAGGAGAGGATCCGGCCAGTGAGGATCCGGTGACAAACATTTATCGTGTTCCCTTTAGGTGGAACTGGTGGCCTTTGCATCATGGTGATCTCCACTAACCACGCAACATCTCTGCGCTAGGATGTAGTAAATACGAAAAAGCTCTTTCAGTGTGAAGGCATTTATTACGCGACATCACTTTTAGTATTTATCAAACTCCCCTGCTATTTCCTGTCTTCTGTTCCCTCTTTATGTGTACATTTGCAGGCCCTGACATTGCCCACATGAGCATCATTTCTGCACAAGAATGCTTCCTTGATTTTATCTTGTTCTCCGGAATTTCCCTTTATGTGTGGGAGGTTTGGTTTCTGCACCTGCACCATCAGTTTCCTTCTTGTTGTGAAGGCAGCAGCATGTTTGTGGGAGTTTTTCAGCAGGAAGAAGATGCATGTTGAGCAAAATTCAAAATCAAGGTTCTTGAAAAGCTTAAAAAGTCATAAGAGGCATCGTTTTAAAAATTTTCTAGCATATTTCTTCATTTTATTTAGTTTCTCCTGCTGTTTATTCCATGTTCTTCTTTTTTATGTTGACATTTTGACAAAGGAGAAGACAAAGGAGATCTCTTCTATATTTATGATGAATAAAAATTCTGGCTGTACATCCAAACCCTCTTCACATCCTGAACTGAAGAGATGAGAGATGAGAGAAAAAAATGTCCATACTGACTATTGATTTTTCAGCTAAAATCAGAAACAAATGCACAATCCACAGGAGCTCTGAGGCTGAAGAAAATAAAAAGACCTGTTTTTCACCCCAGTGATAAAATATTTTTATGTTGGCTGTAGACCTACTGTTTTACCTATCAGTACGATATTGAAAAGATTTGTTGCTTTTCTTCTTCACAACCACATTCATTACATCTATTATTCTTTTATCAGCAGAAGCAAACAAATGGTTTTCACCAATTAATGACAATGACTGTCACCTTAAAAAAACAGATGTTGGTCTGTTTTTTCAGACATCTCATCTCTGCTTTCGTGAGTCAGTGGATTCTGTGCAGAAACAGATTGAAATAAATTTGTTTTCCACCTGGAAAACAATGTAAAAATCTGAGACGGGTAACAGATCCACTCATTAAGATTGCATGACAACAGTTTCTGCGTGATTCCACCTCTGATTAACAGACAGTAATGCGGTGCCTCGAGTGATTTAAGAGCAGAACGGATACAGCAAGCTGGGTTGAGCTTCCGTAAAGGAGAGTTACGGCCTATATCAAGTAGAAGAGCTGTAAAGTGTTATTTTAGTCGTTAGACCGGCATTAACATACATTACAAAACAAAAGAAAAAGGACAGCCAGGATTACATTTCCAAGTACGACCACTTAGACACACATGGCCTGTCTTACATTACAACGCTGAACATTTCTCACTCGCTCTAAGACATAATGTAAATAAATTAGAATATATGTTTCAATGAGGCCCATTTGTCAGGTTAAAAGCACCTTTTTATGTATAAAACATACTTTTCATCAAGTGTGCATTTCTGTATTAAATGTTTATTTTCTATGGGTATGATATAATTTTATGATCTTAAATGTTTTTTTTTCATTATCTATAAACAGAAAATCACCATAAACTAACAGAAATAAAGACCTAAAAACATCAGTGTGTGCAGTTAACCTATGAAAAGTGTCTCACTTTGTGAAGCACATTATATTCTAATTTAATTACACTCTAATTTGCTGAGTGTTGCTATACATGCACACTTGTTATCATGGTAATCGTAACCACGGTGTGGTTATGATTTTTTCTTAAGTCTTCAAGGCAGATATGTGCTGATCTTAATGAGTCAGGAAATGGTTACAAGGAAACAGTAATTACATTTGTCCACATCTTCAGTCAGAGCAATAATCAAGTTTATCCTGTGAGAGCTAAGCTTGCTATTGGACAGCTGCAGGTCTCCATAGCAACAATAATATGCTTTTTACACCATCTTAACCATAAGGCAAATATGACTCACCTAAACGTATATAAATATCATAAATTAATTAAAATACCAGAACATTTTAAATAATCAGATGACAATCTTAAAACCATAACTATATGCATGCAATTATTTAGTAATTATTTAGTAATTATTTTTGTATGAGAAACTGCCACTGAACTGAAGGATAAATTAGTTTAGAAATTTTTGAAGTGAGGCAATTTTAATCGAATCAGTTCCTTAACATATATATCCATAGCTGTTTAAATAACAACATGCAGCTGTTTCATGGAATAATCTTGGCAGATTTGAAGAGCTTTATCAGCACAATGAGGCAGAGGAAGCTTTGCTGCGATGGTGAACTTCATCTCTTGCTCTCAGAAAGATGATTAAAAGTCTTTGTCAACAGAAGTTTAATCTTCACTAACATGCAGACTGAAGAGGAAGTCATTACAGCACTATTTATCACAGCAATACGCTTCTAGAAACTGTGCTGACCAAAACATTACAGTGTCATCAAGAGCTGCATTAAAAGCCTTGTATATCACACAGAAAATGACTCTGGCAAGATTAGCTTGTTGTGCAAAAATATAACTAATATCACCTTTTGCTTCTGCGGTTTGGGTTACTTTGCTTAAAAAAATAATGACACAATGCAACGTGTTGTGTGTTGTTGTTCATCCGAGGCTGTAATTACTTCACACTTTAATAAAACAAAAACCTTTTCGGTATAGGATGTACTTGTCTGTAAATATTTTTTTGTTTTGCTTGTTTTATCTCAAGTGGGAGTTATCTAACATGATGACCAGAAATCTTTATGTAATTTATTTCCTCCATCCATTTTTGTTACATGATTTACATGAGTGTATTTCATTAAAACCTTTGATCCAAAACTGGATTAAAACTCTGATATGAACATGTTTATTTCCTGATTGCTTGGCTTTGCCTGAATATTTACGTATTAGAATAATTATTTTTGTTGAACAGTGTACAGATAAAATCTGATCTCTGAACTGAGTTGAAGATTCTCTGAATGTGCAGAACTGTGCCAGAGACTTGAGGTATTTATTTATGTTTTTGTTGGATAAAACTGTTTTCTTTGGTGGCTTTTTCTCTCCCTTTTAGTCCAGCAGCTGAGCATTTTGAGAGGAAAGATTATTTTTATTCCTGTTTGTCAAGCACTTAACTCTGACATATGAATCATTCAGGCATAAATAGACTCCAAACTCAAGAGGCTAACCAAAAAAAGACCTTGCAAAGAATCTGTTTAAATTTATCTCAGGGGCTTGGTCACCAGATATGATGTTGCATTTGATTTGTTAATTACGTGTGAAGCTGCTTGTCATGAATTCAGAGGTGTTTGGTAGTTGCTGTGGTGAAAAATGTTAGAGGTGTAACAGTATAATGCAGCTCACAACGTGAGAATACACAGTATTTGGTACACAGGAACAGGACAAGTCAAAGTTTTAACAGAATTTTTAGGGAACCTAAAGATGCCTGTTTTGTTTTTTTGTACTGGTTTGTCAAACTGGGGGATACACATCGACACAGTTGGGCACAGATTGTTGCTTTGCAGTTTATAAGGTTCTAATCACAGCCATTGCATAGAGTTAGCATGTTCTCCGTGTGTGTGTGTGTGTGTGTGTGTGTGTGTGTGTGTGTGTGTGTGTGTGTTCTCTCTGGGTACTCTGGCTTCCTCCCTCTCCAAAAACATGACTCTTAGGTTATTGGTCTTTTCTTACCTGTAGGTGTGTGCATGACTGTTTGTGTATAATACGAGCCTCCGCTGAGAAACGTATCAGGCCCCGACACTTAATAACTGGCTGTGTCACTCCTGTCAGCAACATCTGCTGCCAATAAGTCATAATGAATATTTTGACCCACTCTTCTTCAGAATCATTTTAATTCAGACACACTGAGGGGTTTTCCAGCATGAACAACTTTTTTCCAGTCTGTGTTTCTAATTGTTGACTTGTGACTTTAACTGAGGCAAATGAGGTTCAGCTTTAGATGCTGTTTTGGATTTTACTGCAACCCTCTGAATGAGGTTTGTTGTTGGAGTCATTTTATTAGGCCTGTGAAGTTTCATCACTTCTCCATGTTTGTCCCAGAGCCTTAGAAACATTTTTAACCCTTTCTGTATTAATAGATGTTTCACATCTGTGCTAAAAATATCTTTATGTCAAAGTCTGATGTGTTACTTTGTCGATTGTTTGGGCGACTTCATGATGTCCAAGTTCAGACGTGTGCCCTGTGATTACAAATCAAATCATCTTTTCCTCATTCAGAATGTATTTAAATGTCTGGTTTTATTTCAAATGGACAACTGGGTTTTGACTTTGTCTTTTTTCTTCGTTCAGGTTCATTCAAGCCGAGTTGCTGCAAAGCCCAGAAGTCTCTGGAGTTCATCCCAATAAACCTGCACACACAGAGGATGAGAGTGACATGCCCCCAGAAAACAGGTACTGTTTAATTAGGACTGGGTGTGCTATCTTCAGAATGTGATTAACAGATACTTCAAGGACAATTCAGCGAGAAAAAATCTGAGGCATTTGATCGCTCGCCTTTTCCATGTTAGCAGGTGCATGTTGGAAAAGCTTCTGTGGTTCTAGTCACACTCTTGTTTCTCTGTGCTCGATTTTCCATCTGTCAGAAATACTCAGAGGACTCAGGCTGGCTGTTTCTAGGCCATAACTCAGGTTGAAAGGTGAGAATTACTTTGGCCTGGAAAAAAAACCAGACAAAATACTAATTAAGCCCTTTGCGTTTCAGCGGAGTGAAATAATAGGTTGTCTGTTTTGCGGATGCTCGGCAGCAGGCCGCTGTTGGCCTGGAATTGTCTCTGTGTATTAACTGCTTCCCTTCCATCAGTGAGCGGGCTCCATTTCAACTAAACACAGGATGATTGATGGGAAGACGGGAAGACAAACATGGGGATTAACTGTCATTCTTCCAGAGAGGACCTGAGGGATGAAAGATGAGTTAAGCCAGATCAAATCATCATATCGGCCTAAGACTTTGTTTCTCTGTCAAAGAGGGGAAACAAATGGTAAAACCATATCAAAACTGACCTTGAAGGAGTTGGCTCATTGATTGGTGGACACGCTGATAATTAGCCTCTTTGGGCCCAATTTTCTAGGTAACTCACTGTTCAGCTGAGGTGCTCGGCTAATGTTTGGTGTGAGATCACTCCACTCTTACTGCAGCATCGCTGGCTTTGCTGACCTCACAACGGCACTTAGGAAAAAGGGCAATGTTGGATAATTTATTATCAGTGTAATGTGAAACTACAAAGTGAATTTTTAAAAAGTGAGTCACATTTCTCTTCACTTGTTTTGCAAACATATGAAAATGGCTTGATGCTGCTGCAAGCATGGTAAATAAATAATTATAATAAAAAGTAAGAGGACCAATTACAGAGCTTTAGGTGCTAGAAATTACAGCAGCTATAGATAGGAAGCACATACAGAAAGCATTGTTAGAGAATGTTTTTGTAAGTTAAGGATGAAATTTGGCAAATTTAAGATCATTTTCACAGTTGATTATATGTGGATTTTATATCAAAACAAGAAATGTAGGTTTCAGTGTGGCCCAGTTTAAGTCCAGACTTAAGTCTGAAATGTCATGACCCTAAACTCTTTGTTCATGCTCAAACCCTCCAAATAAGTTTGAATTAAGACTATTTTACTGAAAACAGTGAGCCAAAATGTTTCCACTGTGATGTTAAAACTGTTTTATAAATTCTTATTGGCAGTTGTTGCTGTTAACTTATTTACGGCTGATTGTTGGGTTTAGGAGGCAATTATTTTTTCACTAAAGAACCTGGTTGGTTTGCACAGTTTTTCTTTTCATGCCGTTACCTGAGATGTACAACCAGGTAAGAAATGAAACTTCCTGCAGCAACTGTTGAGTTCAGGCTCCAGGTCTTAAATGTTGCTCGGTTTTCTTGTTTAACTAATGTCATTTACTCTATTGTTCAATTTTCTTTTGTAAAGAGAAGCATTTCCTTGAGAAGTGATGTATAATCTACTTAGTGTTGCAAAGCCATTTATTTTCACTTTGTATATTGATCATCCCGAGAAAAGGGAAATCAGAAAAAATAGCCACATTGTGGGCTCTGAAGAGAATTCATTTGTTTTACTGTGAATGGATTTTCACAGCTGTAAAATATTTCTGAAAACCATTAGTCTGGGAAAGCTGAGCTGAAAGCATTGTTCAGGAGGATGTTTTGTTGTCAGCACAGATTGCTGTGTGTGAATTATAGCCACTCATTTTGACGGCCACAATCAGTTTCCTCTTTACAAAAGCTCCTCCGTCTTTTCGCTTTTTTAACGCCTCGTTCGGCTGTTGATTAACTGAGAAAAGAATAACAAAAAAGAAAAACTGAAAATCTGTCTCAGGTTGGTTCATTGTGCCTGATGTTCTGTTGCCCCTTCCTGCTGGTTCACTGCTGCTGCTGGAAAAGTGAGGAAAACTCTGTAACATTGGTACAACTAGTGGAAGAAGCAGTGAGTGAAATAGCAAACGCTTCAGTCCTCAGTTGATCTGCTGTGGTTTTCTTTTATTTTCCTCTGTGGCGACAGTTTAAAAGTTGGATTGGACATTTATCATATTGTTTATTATTTATCATGAAAAAATTCTTGTGACAAGAATTTTGGGTATTTGAATGGGACTGCATTAGACTGACATGAGCATGAAGGAGTCTACATGAATGTCTGACTGTTGTCTGTCATTCTTTTAACGTAAACCTGCATTAAAAGTTGCATTAAGAGCGTCAACTTTTAATTAAAAGCGTCATTTACCAAATGACTCTTCATGACAACAGTCATAAACATTCATGAAAACTCCTTCATGTTAATAAGTTATGTCATGTTTATGGAAGTGTCATGTCAGTCTTATGCTTCACATAAACTGCTACCGAATTTAGATTTATTTGTCTTACTAATCTCTGTTAATGAACAGTTTTCTTAATGATAATTTTTATCATAATCACAATAGTACTACAAAGTCTATGTCGCCCACCCACATTTTAAAGCCTCACAAAAGGTTTTCTGTCTTTGCTAGTTTACTTTTTTTTTTAAATATGCTAATCTGATTGCCAAAGAACTTCACCAAGTTTATTGGTGAAATAAACTGGACCCGACTCTACAAGCTTTCAATGCTTTTCCATCAACGTGAAAGGAGTTTTTTACTTAAAACAAGCTTCCTTATCTTGCTGAAGTGACTTGTAGTTTTCTCTTGGATACTGCACCAGAAACCACAACAATAAATACTTGGTTTTTGGTGTCTTTCAGTTCAGTTCCTAACTTTAATCAATCACTGGATTGATTCAAGAGCAGCAATCCCAAACCAGTAAAAACTCCCACATCCAGCCCCAGACTCAGATACTGGGAGTTTTTACTTTTTCTAGTCCATCACATTACTACTTCCAGATCTGAGTCATTTAGGTCTAATCAGTAACTATCTGTGGGAGTTTATCAGCAGCTTGTCACAAAAACATGATTAAATCCCATTTTATGCTTGAATCTGTTAAAATGCTGAACATAACAGTTTGACACACAGAAAGTTGGATTTTACCACCAAAGAGCCGTTTGCTGAAAATTGGGCAAAGAGTAGATGATCGGCTTCAATGCTGTATTTCTTCCCCATACATAACTATCAGAAACTATTAATCTGCTGCTATATGATATTGAATAGTTCTCATGCTGAATCTTTTATCCTCCATTTGTTCATTTCCATACATCTTAGATGCACAATGATCAAAATACAGGTATGGCCAGGGACCAGGCAGAAAATGAGTTTATAAGCCCAACAAAGTCCAAAGATTAGGAGAGACGGTGCCTCTTTGGATTAAAATATAAAGAACAATGAGACAGGGAATGGAGGGGATTAAAACGTCCACACAGTGCTGAATAACAACTATATATCAGTCATGTTCTACCAAGTATATGACAGAAAATCCCAGCAGGATTCAATTGAAGCAAAGCATTTCCTGCCTCTCACTCTTAATCTGTTTTTTAAGTTTGCTTTAACCTTAATGGAGGTCCTTGTAAATTGAATTCATGACCAAAAAACAAATAAACACACACACACATGCACACACACCATGCGCTTTTTCTGATTTTAATTGTCAGCTTCAGTCATTAGTCATTCAAAACAAGACCTGCTCTAAGCACCTTTGTTCCTGCCTGGCTGTCTGTGAAGTGTTTATTTAATTTTGAGGCTGATGTGCAAATTGGAGTGAAGCACTGTGACATTGGCTGTCCTTCTGGTCTAACATGGGACCAATCGACCTCAAAACCAAGCTGTGAATATGTAGGAGAGAGAGGGTAATATATGAGATACAGGTTCAGTCCTGTAATAATGCCATACCTTTATTTCTCTTACCTTTGTTCTCTTTCTGAGAGAGTGAAGTTATGCTATTCAGAAGGTTATATTCATGATGTTTCTTACCTTTTTTGACTTCAATTTGGAAAGTAGGAAAGTGATACATGAAAAGAATGTCAAGTTGAGCTGAAACAAGTTGATTTAGTCCTAAATGAGACGTATGTGTGTGTATATATATAAATCATTTCATTATCAACCAGCCATGAGCAGGTGCAACTCGAAACATTAGTCCACCTTGTCATGATGGTCCAGAAGATCAGTCCAGGTCCAGTAAAAGCTGGACCTGATAGAGGAGTCATCCACTCCTCTGCAATGGCCTTTCTGAATGCTCACAGCACTAAACTCCACTGGTGAAGAAAAACAAAACCTTGTTGAGGTTTGAGAAATGTAATGTTGATAAGAAGACGAGGATAAAACGAGGGTGGCGTTTTCAGCATGACCCAAAGTTTGTTTCAGATAAAGAAAATAATAACGCCACTAAAATGTAAAGCAATGAAGGTCAAAGTGCAAATAAGCCTCAAATTTTGAAGACTTGTGTCTCACACCTGAGCAACGTATTCCACAACACTGAAAAGCCATTTTAGGCTTTTTTGCTTAAATAAAATGTAATAAGAGTTTTAATAGATGTTTCCTGCTCCAGTCTGTTTTATTACACAGGACTTTAGTTAATTTAGCGGTTTGTGTTGGTTTCTTTGAATATGGGAATCATTTTGTCTGTAATCTGTATTTGCTGTAAAAGCCATCTGAACCGACTCATTAGAAATATATTTACTGTGAAAAACTGATTCATATTCAATCATATTCTTCCTGCTTGCGCCGACTGTGTTGTGTTGTAATAAAATATGTTTATGATGTGTTATGAACTGTTAAAATTGTGTTTCTTCATAATTTTAATTCAATTTGACTTTAGATTTGAATTTTTCTCTGCTGTATTCATGATTTTCTTTCTTTCAAGCCCCTCCGGAGCCTCCTGCATTTTAGTTATCTGTCTCCATATTTTAAATTCAGCGAACTAAAATATATTTTTTCCCTCTTTCCAGATGCTTTGTATGACATTATCACTGTCGGTGCTCCAGCAGCCCACTTCCAGGGCTTTAAGTGTGGAGGCCTGCAGCGTCTCCTGAGCAGATATGAAGCAGAGAAGAAGAGGTAAAAAAAACAAACATTTCCCTTAAGGAGGGATGTATTTAAGGAAAGTGTGGGTGAATTAATTGAAGCAGCATTCTGATGAAAAAGGTTTTTATTAAGAACTAGATTTTAACTTCTTAATTAAAACCGACAGGAAATTTGTTTCTGCCCCATGGACTTGATTTGTGAGGTCTGAGCCAGTAACTTAGCTCCAATTCTTGTTGAAATTAGACTTGAGCTCTGCAGGATTTGACAGGTTAATTTGACCGGAGGCAACAGGCTTGATGGAAAAGGTTTGGAGAGTTAGAGTCTCCCCTCCACCTGCTCTTTTCCCAGGCAAGCATTTTTCAGCTTTATCAACCGTGTTAGCTTCTCATCGAAGAGCCACAGATCATGAAGGTCAGCGGACAGCATGGACTCACTGCTGGTTGCCAGAAAAAAATGAGTTCATGAAGAGAAATTGTGTTGTAATTATTGGAGAAACATGACAGAAGTTCACAGTAACAGCTACTTATTCAGCAAGACAGATTTTGACACGTTTTCTTCAAGCAATCCATACAATTTTTGTTTCACGTTTCTTCCTTTTAAGATTAAAAATCTATTTTGTAAAAGAATCCTGGCCAAAACTGGCAGCGGCACTCAGAGGTTACAGCACATCCACAACAAATCAGAAAAAAGTTACTGTCATAAATAAATAAATTAAAAGATTCCCCAGTTAAAACATTTACGCACAGATGATTCCTTCTCAAAGTCAGTAAGAAGAACCGTAAAAACATTTAGAGAGACTTTTAGATTCATGTATTTTCTTCGACTGGTTCCAAGAAGACAGAGCAGAAAACTAAAGATTTCTTTTCAAGTTCAATTCGGACCTTAGGCACTGAAAGTAAAAATAAGTGCTGATAAAACATAAAAGCATGAGGTATCACTGATTTCTTTTTTTTTCCACTTCAAATGTCAAGCCCAATATTAGTGAGGAATAAATCCATTGACAGCTGGATTGTTAAATCATGAATTCATTTTATTCTAACTACTTTCTTTCAGATCATTAGTGATTCATGATCAGAACGGAGCTTACGTTACACCATAGCTTTGTCTGTTTGAGCTCTGCAGTAAAATAACTTTCTGCTATGATTTGTATTTGACTTGATTGAAAAGTAAAAGGCTGTTGGCATTGATCCAGCTGTCTGAATGTGGTGAAAACGTTTCAGTGGCTGTGAAGATGGGCTAAAGTTCAACATCTTTGCCTGAACCAGGTTGATGCTGTAGTGATGCTGGAAAAGGAGTCCCGACTCACTGAAGGAAACATCCAGATACTCATCTCTTCAAGTTACCACTTAAACCGTAGAGCTTCCAAACTTTGTGTTTTTTCTGACAAATGTAATCTTTCTGCACAGATCCCAGGAGGGTCGAGTGAATCCTGCATGAACTTTTTTTAGTTTTATTTTTTCTTGTAAATACAGGAGATTTTTGTGGAATTGGAAACATTCTTGTTTTGTCTGTAACCTACAATGACCCTAACACTCTGCCGTACCCAATAACTATGGCACCAGTGCCTTTGTTGATTTTTTAATTATTTATCTTGTGTTTCTCTATTTTCTAATATGATATTTTGCTGCTGCAGTAAAAGCTGAATTTATTTTGAAAATATAAACACATCTCCACCAGATCTGTCAATAAATGTGGATGATGCCGTATGGAAAACGGCTACTTAACGATTCGTTCACTGACCAAAACAGAAAAAAAAGATTTTTCGTTGTCAGATCATTACTGCCAGCAAACGACTGAGAGCTGAATGTTTTGTTTTTTTCTTATTCCCTCTGAGAGCAACACTGACAGCTTCACAAAGACTGTTACGAGGCCATTTTTGTAGTAACAGTGTTATGAGTGAAATTGCTCTCTTGTGTAGCCTGGCCTGCGCTGCGAAACCTCAGATCAGTGAGATGCTGCAGATTTTTGCTTTATTTGTTCAGAGGTTGGAGGTTGGAGCTGCATGTCAGTATGTGGCCACTTAACTGATGCCTAAAGAAGCAAAAGGTGATTTTTTTTCTCTCCATCATTGCTCCCCATAGAGTGCAAAGTCATTACAGACCATGCCAGACCTAATTAGTTACAGAGTTTGCAGCACCAGAACGAGTGGGAAAGAAAAGATGAAGAGGGGTGAAGTGTGGGCATGAAATGGAAAAAACTGATGGGAAAATAGTTTGGGGCTTTTGCAGATTAAAAAATAAAGAAGTGAATTTGCTGAAGATGGCCAGTTCTGTCTGCCTGCATGAACAGTGATAAGGTTAGCATATTTCTGAGAAACCACTGAAGTGAAATCATTTACTTTGCGTAAGAGATTAGGCTTCAGAGGTAACTCCCCAGGGAGATGGGTCTTTTTGTTTCGTATTTGATTTAGCTAATGACTCACTGTAGCTCAAATTTTCCAATTTTCCACTTGGCTAACTGGCTGCGACCTGCGCCGTGCAATGTGCAGTTCATGTTTGACCTGGAATGTGGTCAGAAACAGGAGTGGACCCAGGCTCTACATTTTAAAGAAACCACTCTGTGTGTCACTGCAGAGCGGTCTGGAGATTTCCATCTGAGATTCCCTGAAGATTCAGCACAAGTTGAGCCTGCTTTACCAAAAATATACATTTCCAGGATAATTAAACTTCACCCAGCCTACCCCCTCGTTTTGAAGATACACTCTTTTCTAATTATGTTTGATTAAAAAATGAACAATTGGTGAGATGTGAGACTCGGCTGTTCGATATGATATTAAATCATGAAATAGAAGATGGGAAGGGACTGGAAAAAAGGAAAACCTGAGCACAGATGTGTTACCAGGATGGTAATAAAAGAGCCATTCATCTTTGTTCTGTGGACAGGAGAAGAGGGGACAATGGGATCTTTCTGGAGCCATTAACAACCTGCGCCGGCCAAACTTGGCAATAGAACGAGAGTGTAATATGTTCCACCTCTGACCGCTGTATTCCTCAATTTTAAAAAGAAAAACTGCACATTTTTCTTTTTATCTTTCTTCAGTGCATGCATTACTCCCTAAATGCTTGTTTGAAATGCAAGAGGATTTTTATCTTTTTCTTCCTTAATCAAACTATAAACTTTAGGATTCTCAGAGATGGTCTCAGTTTTCCAGTAAGATCCTCCACAGAATAATGAATGATGATCTAATAGCTGCGCTCTCCTTGCCCTGCTGCAGGCCGACAATGAAGACAGTTTTACTCAAAATTCAACCGCACAAACCATTTCTAGCTTAATATTGGGGCAGGTAAGTGTGTTTCAGATAAACCGGATGAAAAATCCTTAATAATCAGCTGTCACTTCCCAACTTGCCATCTCAAATGACATCAAATGATACTTCCTATCTCATTTCAAAATAAAAGATTCAAACATTGCTGCAGATTGAAACTTAAAGCCTTTATCTTCATATGTAAGGCTCATGAAAGGCTAAAGCTTTCATAATATGCTGATTTTTGTTTTAGAAAAATAGCACAATACATTTACAGTATTTTGTGCAGCTGTGTTAAATACTTACTGATTGTGGTTTTCTCACATTACTGAACTTAGACATATTTAGAAAATTTAACAAAGCAGGAAACTATCGTGTTGCTGAATCAAAAAATAAGAGATGAAAGTAAAATATGTGAAACACTAAATCCTCCATGAACAGAGACGTTCATACAAAGTTCTGTCAGTGAGGAGGAACGCAGAATTTTATCATCTTCCTAGAACATCAGTAATTAGTTTTGGCTGAAAGCTTAACGCTTCTCCACCAACGAGCGCCATTAAGGTGAAACTTCAGGAGCTTTTTGAATGTTCATATTTCTATTCAGAACTGGACAAAATGCCTTTTTCAACCCACACTGGACTGTTGGACCATTTCTGTTTCCTGCTGTTCTGGGATCCACCCGCCATCTTTAATTCTGTATCCAGCTCTGATTAAGGAGGACCAGCGACGCCCTCTGGTGGATGGCAGCAACACTACGATATTGAAAGGGCTTAGCTAGTGTTTCCCAAACTTTTTTCACGCTGAGCAAACTTAACCCATTTAGCAAACACTCAGACATAAATTATTATTTTATTTTAGATGTTGGGGATGTAATAATGTTCTAAAATCAAAAGTTCTGCAACTCGCCCTGAGAAACTGAGAATTATTCCTGCAGACATGAATTCTTCTGATCATATAAGTTTTCCTGACGTTGTTTTCTTTCCACCAGTATCTTCAGCTTTTCTTGAGTGACTTGGGCTTAAGTAATTTATCCATTATTATTTTTAAACACAATCCTTTGGTAAGCTAAGTGTAGAAATTGCACTTTGAGTTCACGTCACATCAAATAAATGGACGTTTGCATTCAGTGCCGTGGTCCAGGGCCACAGTTTAAAAAAGACCCGTCTAATCAGACGTTATTAGTTAATCTGTTGGAACTAATTTGAATCTTACAAACCATTAATCAACAATTAACCATTAGTTGATTATTGGTTTGCAACCCTACCTATGATCCAATAGATTTTCTTAAAGATGTATTTTAGGAAAATTATTGTTTTTTCAACCTGGACTTGCTGCACATCTACTTAAGATGTGCAGTAGGTCATCTGTAGGACATTTCTGTTTGAAATGTGTCCTCCTTTACAGATAGAGAGGAAGGAGGCTTTGTTGGTTCGCCAGGCATCTGTGTCAAGCAGCAAAGCCAGATGTCGCATTTCTGGGGCAAGGAGAGTGGTCGAAACCACACAGCCCTAACTTAACACAGTCTCCTGGGGCTGATTTCAGATTTAGTGTGACGAGCAGCATGTTGTCCAACAAAATAACTTTCTCCCAGGATTCTCTGTCTGTGAGGAAAAAAGGGCCAGGCCGTTGGCAGCGGCTGGGACCTCAAGTTGATGGACAGCAGCTTGTAGTTCATGGCCTACTCTTGAGTCAACCACATCCAGGCGCCAGCGACTGAAGGAGAAGGTAGCTGGCAGAAGCCCTGAGGCTTCTCTGGTCACAGATCATGGTTTGTCTTTTTCTGCATCAT